ACCACAGGCGCAGTCGAAATCAGCCAGCATTCGCTCCGCTTGCTCGATGTTCGGCGTTATAAGAACGATGTCGTCAGCAAAACGAAGGTGGTGTAGTTGCCGGCCGTCGACCTTCACTCCCATGTTTTCCCATTCCAGTTGACGCATGACGTTCTCACTCATGAGGAGGGCAGCTGAAGAGTGGCGAATTCAGCGTGTGGTCCTTGTCGGACATCTCCGCTTGACATCTATGCATGACGCCTCCTTGTAGAATGGCGCAGCTTGGGGATTTTAGCTGTTACGAAGCTCACGCAAGAATCTTGATGCTTACCTGAGCTTAGTGGCACCGCTCCTGCGCTCTCATCCCGACTTCTTGCATCGACCGCCTCTGTTCTTACCACCAGAGTCGAAGGCCCTCTCAAGTCTCGTGAACGTGTACGCACAAAGCCCCCCGCGCCCCTCTCTCTCTCCTCGCAACTTCTATGAGGACTTGCAAACTGTGCATATGGCTATCCCCCCGCGTCCTCATCGTGCTAAACCCTCTTCGACCGAGACTTGCCTTGCAATGGCCTCGTCCTTCACCAGTATTTCTGCCCGCATCCTAATTCGCCCAGGATGACTCGCACAGACTGAAAACATGTAGCATTACCCAGAACAGCACGCAGATTGGCGATACCCATTGCCAACTCGTCGTCCAGGCATCTACCTTCCTCCCTGCTTACAGCTACCACGCTTGTGCTGGTTTGGTCAACGGAGTGAAGCGATACTTGCATCTCGTCCGCACAGGTAGCGCCGGTGCAAGAGTCGAGCCAGAGTTTGATGAATAAACTGCGCCGGCGCATTCTTCAGCATGCTTTTCCGTTGGACTTGTTGAGGACGGGTGCAGACCCCATGCACACATTTCACACGACATTGCTGCGCCAGGCAACAGCCCAGTTAGCCACCTTTACAGGACGAGGCACGTGGACCATATATCTCCTTCGCTACCATTTACTACCGCCAAACACAACGACTGGACAACCATCGTGAACAAAAATTTTGCAATAACTATGGAGAGAGATAGTATGAACTGTGGAATATATCAAAACACAGCTCCCAAAGGATCGCTCGCGCTATTACCCAGCTACGCAGAGCGCCATTGCTAACGCTCTCCTCGCGAATGCTCTCGCACACTCAAGCCTCCGCTCGCCCCCCCCCCCGTGAACGTACACTTTGGGGCACTCTGTGAATCATATATAATATAGTATAAGCCCAACCAAATATTCAGACTCGTTCACTACTTTGTCTTATTCATATTTTGCCTTTTCCTAGTCTGTATCTTAGAAACAAGTGTTAAGGAAGGAACGTCTAGAGTGGTGCAACTTTGCTGAGACCGTAGAAACAAATGGAACTAGTGTTGCAATAAATAAGCAGACGTATGACTGTAATTCGTATAGCCCCAAGCGTGAAGACAACATCAGGTAAAACTTCAGTTCTCAATCAATAAAAAAAGTCGAAAACGAAGAAGTCGATTTGGAAATATCTTCCAAGAGCTCCTCGAAGCCTTGTTTTTCAAAGTTTTTTCCTGACAAGGCTTGCAAGACCATATTTCCTTCCATAATAGGACCAAAAATAGCAAATGGCATCTATCGTGAATTATCACGACCTCATCCAATGGCAACCTTGCAACCGACCCTCTGCTTCCAATAAACAGAAGCACATCGAATCAGATCACACAACACAAGTGACGACGGTATCCAGTAAACTGATAACTAGTGGACAGATAGTTAGTGAATGATAGTTGGAATTAGCGGACTGAAAGAATACCATATCTTCGGTGGTGTATGATCTGCGCTCTCCACGTACCTGCTTTCTGGAACTAAACTCAGCTTCTTTCGAATTTAATTTGCGGCAACAGTCACTTTCCTCTGTGCGCAATGGAACTCTCCGTATGAGATACTCATTGAGAAGCTTCAGCCAAGTTTCGCAGGCTTTATTGTAAAGATAGATCTCCTACATAAGTTTTCTTCTCACTTACGCTGTGATAAGTCAGGACAACCAAGCGAGTCTTCGACAGTGGAGAGGATGATATGGAACCCGCTGAAAGCTGCTACATTTTGGTGTGATCTGTTTGACGTTCGTCAGTAAGACCGAAGCTGTTCGAGAGAGATTGTCGACGTTGGAAAGCATAATTGAAAGGGCTATGGAAACGTCAAATTATAATCTTGTCCACAAAACAATAAGAGAGACTTAGCATCAGTCATTCACAGAATCCGAAAGAGAGACATTTCCCAGCAGATTGGAGCGGTTCTGCGCAAATATAAATGGTTGTTCGTAAAATTCCCGCCGTTTCTAATAGTAACTCACATTTGTGGCTTCATTTATGAATCACTTCTACGGAAATGCTACTACTTATATTTATACATATATCATTAGAAAGAGCGTTTACCGTTCTGTCTGAATCTACTGTTACTTTGACCTTCGAGTACTTTGCTCCTCTCCTGTGAAGTCCTGAATAAACGCTTTTTCTAGTCCTGAATCCCGAAAGTCCTAAATAACACTCAACAGACTGTTAAGTACGATTCTCTTGTTCCCTCTTAACTTGGTCAGAAAAGTACCGAAGCAAGTCGGAGTGCAGGTGAACATTTGCTGTCGAATCCAAAAAAATCGCTGTGCATTCGTGATCCAAAATGTTTTTTTTTCGAGAGGATGAAAGCTTTGAAGGAGGCTAGGGTGAAGATCGGATATCGGAGGCTGACAAAGATTGGCTAAGGGTTTTGATCTAGCCAAATATGCATGGAGCTGCTTCTCTACTGGGCACAACTGAAATGGGGTTCTCAAAATACGGAGGATTGCCCTATGTAACGTTACGTTAAGCAAGTAAAGACAACAGGGTGCGCAGCTGATTTTCCACAGCCTGCGCGACACCCCACGGCACTCTCGAGCCGATGCACGAGGCAGCTAGTTGAAGCTTACAAAACTGCGCTATCTGTACTGGAAGGCTCTCCTCGTCCGCCTCCTCTCCTTCAACACCACCTTGCTCTGTGCTCTTTCGAAGCTCATAGACAAAACATCAGAAACGCGACCATCCCGCCTGAATTCACCACGCACTGTTCCAACAAACCTTTTCGCCTACATGAACCGCAGCACTCCAACATCCGTGATGCTATTACACTTCTCATTTCGGTGTAAATTAAGGTTGTAGTGATTGTAGCAAATTTTATTCCCAAGAAAAATGTAAAAATGTTTTATGTGAAGCGAGATGTGCGCTTCTGAATTCATGGCAAAAATCGGCGGAACTTTGCGAACACTCCAATGTCATACTTGAAGCACATTCCGCTGTTGCAGGATAGGAGTAATTCGACGGTATTTGAAACAGTGCCTTTGCATCAATCTAGCTGGCCAGCATGAAGAAAATGCAAAATAACATTGAAAGACATTTGAATAAAGTACTTTTTAGCAGAGTCATATTCTGGCAAACCTATTCGCAGAAATTCCAAAAATCACAGAAAACGGGACCCCCGAGGGCCGTGAGGTATGCGAAGCATGGCAGTCCCCCAAACGAGACAAGACGAGAACAGGCGCCACGCCCCCCGCCCGCCACCCCCGACCCGCCTGCCCAGAGAACGAAGCAGCCTGAAGCTGTGTTTTGTGGTCACGGTGTGATTCACCCGCGGTTTGAATTAGATTGTGCTGTAGGCCAGTCGAACACGGGACGTGTTTGATGCCGACTCCTATATCATACTTTCTAATTAATACAAGTTGTCTTTGAATCCGAATGAGATCAAAAGCAATAGAGAGCCTTTCAGAGTGTATCTTTCGTGTGATCCCCACTTTGCTCAGCCATCCGTGGTGTTATTTGTTGCTCCAATGGTGTCAAGAAAATCGTAAGTAAATCGTTCATGTGCTTGATTATTAACCACTGACCCCAGGATGTCCCCTTCAAGTTTTCATCACTGTTCTCAGACAGCACCATTTACTGTTGATACTGTCGGACTGTTCTGTGTGTGCAAACCTTCATATTCAATTTCAACCACGTGAGATAATCACTTCATGCAAATCTAGAATCAAATCCAATCTAATATTATAGTTATCCCTCGCTTCGAGGTGTTCATGGCTTAGTCCCTCCCTTATGGAAGCCAAGAGATCAAGCGGTCGGAGGCGTAATCTGCTTTTCTCCAGCCCACGGGGCATAAACTATTTATCGTTAATCCACGACAACACTGCCAGATGAATTTATGCAAAAAAGCTACGGCGTTTTGGTGATCCAGTCAAGAGCGTTGCGCATGGCTACGTAACTGCAGAGTTTCTTGAAATCCGATCTTTTCTCCCTATCTATCTTCTACCACGTGTTTCAACATAAAGCATTTACGTGTTATTAGTTCGCTTTCAACAACACATACACAGGGGGGGCCAAAAAAAAAAGACATTTTGCCTATGTCGGACTTCGGCTCTTTTTTCTTCGCAGAGATTGCTGTCGTTGACGGGAGTTCCTCAGCAGAGTATTCCCTAAGTGTTCCCTCTATTAGTGAAACGCAGGCTCTCCTTCACTGCCCTCACCGTCTTCAGAATATGACGTCATTTGTCACCGTCGTCAGGCTCAAGCGCCGCCGAGCCGTTCTACCGCAAGAGACCTTGGCTCTGAAGCTTTTTACTTAATTTCGTGATCGATTCTCGATGCCCCCATTCGCATAGGTTTATCTCCTAGAGGCATTAGCTACCACTGTGCAAATCCCTCGAAACTAGCTTTCCAGTAAGGGTCTTTATGGTACACGATCCTTCGAAGACCCCATTGAGCTCGACCAGTGCACCATGTTTCCAGGGCGAATTCTTCTGATGCCGTCCACGTAGGTGGCCACCATAAAGATTTTCTTATAGAATGGAATGCGCTCTTTAATAATAAGTTTGGAACCATTCGGTCTGAATTGAGCAAAATGTGCTTAAATCCATCTGGAAGTGGAGACAAAATGTCTTTTTTTTATTGGCCCCCCCTGTATATTCGTTTTGGATCTTTCCCATTACGCACAAGCGTTTATGTACGGATGGAATCTATCATTGATAATTACATCAACAGTAAGTTCTTCGTCAGTTTTAGGCTTCAGACCATTGTTATTCAGATAGTTCGCGTTGAGGATTGCATTTTTCTCCCTCGTCTACTTAGTCTCGAGACAATTTCGCTTCTGTCTCGATCAAAGGAAATCTGGGATTTGTCACTTTGAGTTGACATGTGTCGGGTGTGCGTAAAAAAACTTGAGGATTAATACGCGAGCAAATGTTATGAAAGGGATGATCAAGTGCTGGTCTTTAAAGCTGGGAATACTATAAGGTCGAGTGGGGTCATGGAAGGGGAGATGCAGAGTAATGTTGCAGCGGCGAAAAAAGCAAAGAAGCCCGTTAAAGACGGCAAAATGGGACCCCTTTCTTTGCTAGTTGACCTCCGATTATGGACTAGCTAGTTAATCAACGAAAAGGTCGTTGCACATGTTGAACCGATAGACACCATCATGCCAGCAAGACATGTTTTGATTTCGATACGCTTCCATGGAAGAGTTCCTACTATATATAATTCGCTAAGTATGTCTGTGTGTGCACATATTTGTCACGAAATTCATAGCGCGCTTCGCTGCACCCATAGAGCGCTGCTTTTAGTGTGTGATGTAGGGGTGGGACGGGTACATATTTGGTGGGGAGAGTGAATAAAAGCTGATAGGTTGGGTTGATAACGACGCCGAAACCGCATTTCATCGCAGATTAGCAGATGCACCCTGCCGTGCAACAGGGGGCGTTTGATTCCAAGAAGTGATGTACGGGGTGGGACGAGCACACTGTTGGTGGGGTCAGAGTGTGGATACAGCCCTTGAAAAGGGTGATAACGGCAGCTGATACGATTTTCGCTTCAATCAGCGCGGCACCTGCCAGCAGCAGTGAGGCGTTGGCTTTCAAAGAAGTGATGTACAGAGGTGGACGCGGCATTATTTTACTTTGGATCAAAAATGGTAGCAGGACTGATAGTAACGATTAATGCACGCGTATACACATAAGGTTGCTTTAATCAAATACTAGATCACCAGCAACCTTCAACTTTATTCATTGACTTTTCATCGTCTCAACTTTTTATTTTGACCGCTACTTTGTCCAAAGTTATTAGAACTGTATGGTGGATGTTCAAGGAAATGCGGCAAGTGCATACATAAAAGTTACCAAAAATATTGATAGCCATATGTCATTGAGGCAGTTCAAAAGGAAGATATCTGCAAAACTACTCAAATATGAAGTTTCGTAGGATCTTGAAATTGACTTTCTTCCTGATCCTCCCTTTGTGATGTGATGAATTTTCCTTTGTCATTCAATTGAGATGCTGATGAGTTTTAATTGTATCATGAGTGATTTATTACGATTGTATTTCCCACGATTGCCTTATGCACCGTAATCCTTCTATTTTATAAAGCGCTAACTTTGTGTGTCGGTTTGTGTATCTGTATGTGTGTGTGTGTGTGTGTGTGTGTGTATGTATGTGTGTCCGTCCGCAAAATGAAGTGAGTGAGAAGGAAGCTCATGGGATAAACAAACCGCTAACAAATCGGGTAGCTTACAGGATTTGAGATATCAATGTTTTGTAGCAGGATAGTTGTGATAACACTCTTAGGGCTATATAAACACCTGCTTAGCACACTTCCGTTCATTCCACATGGTGCTGCAGTGGCAGCTGGAGGGCAGTGGAGAGAGGAAGGGAGGATGAGGAAGGGAAGCGAAAAATCTACCGTCATATCATGATTGTGTCCCTTCTACTGTATGAAACACCATTGTGTTGCATACGCGTCACTTCCAGGAGGTGTTGGTGTCACAGGAGGAAGGGACCATAGCGGAGGATAGAAAGCTTGCGCAGGAAAGGAAGGTCCCGGCGGTTGACGGGGGACTAATCTGGTAAATAAATAAATGAATAATAAAATTGGGTTTCTATTTATCCTTCTATTTTATAAAGCGCTAACTTTGTGTGTCGGTTTGTGTATCTGTATGTGTGTTGTGTGTGTGTGTGTGTGTGTGTGTGTGTGTGTGTGTGTGTGTGTGTGTGTGTGTGTGTGTGTGTGTGTGTGTGTGTATGTATGTATGTGTGTCCGTCCGCAAAATGAAGTGAGTGAGAAGGAAGCTCATGGGATAAACAAACCGCTAACAAATCGGGTAGCTTACAGGATTTGAGATATCAATGTTATGTAGCAGGATAGTTGTGAGCAGGATAAGTTTCTGTTCAACACCTCTTCCAGGGCTCCTATAATATAAACACCTGCTTTAGCACACTTCCGTTCATTCCACATGGTGCTGCAGTGGCAGCTGGAGGGCAGTGGAGAGAGGAAGGGAGGATGAGGAAGGGAAGCGAAAAATCTACCGTCATATCATGATTGTGTCCCTTCTACTGTTTGAAACACCATTGTGTTGCATACGCGTCACTTCCACGAGGTGTTGGTGTCACAGGAGGAAGGGACCATAGCGGAGGATAGAAAGCTTGCGCAGGAAAGGAAGGTCCCGGCGGTTGACGGGGGACTAATCTGGTAAATAAATAATGAAATTAATGACACTGCGGTATTTTC